AGAGTTTATGTTTGGGGATGAAAGGTACAGGACTAATTTAGGATATAGAAAAAAAAGAGGGTTGTTGATTTTAAAAATCAACAAGGGGGTTAGAGTCGGGTAAAGATTTGGAATTTAGGTCGCCCTAGGATGAGACAAGAGTTAAGCCAGCTCTAATACCAAATAATACCAGAATCAGTATGTAAATAAGGTGAGAATAAACACAACACAACCATTAGTAAGTTTTTAGAAGCAAGAAACTAAAAATAAAACAAATTGAAAGCAAATAACGGAAAATACTAGAGAATAGGGTATAGATGGTGTCGTTTAAGATTTGGACCTCGGTGGTGGCAAATAGGCAGCTAGCAAGCTAGAAACAACAATACAATTGTTTCCAGAAGCTCAAACAACAAGCAAAAGGCAGGAACAGATACGATAGAGTTATCTGGGGCGGCAGCAAGGATGTGGGTCAGAACAACACTCAATTTGCTGGTTCGGGGTGGTTTCAGGTAGAGGACAAGCAAGTATAGTCGTAGAAAGGTTGTTCCGGGTGACGACGACAAGGAAGAATAAAAGACAGCAAGAGAGTTGTTGTCCCTAGGTGGCAGCAACATATTGGACACAAAAATAGCAAAATTCCCATTTTATGGGTTGCGACAACAGGCAAACAATGAAGGGGATGAGGGCAAACAATAAGAATGACAAATAGTACCTGAAGACCAAGATACAGCCAGAGTACCACTTCGAACACTAGGAGGAGTTCGCAGCTTTATAAACTCAAATCAATCAAAAACTAAACCCTAAATATCAAAGAAACACTTAAATAGACCTAGTACTGTTAGGAGTAGGCGACACTCCAATTGGGTTGCAACCCTAGTCCTAGAGAGGGCCAACCAGCCCTCCCTCAACCTGAACTAAACCAAGCCGGTCCAGATTCCTACCCAACCACCAGGTCAAGAACCCTCTTTTCTTAGTGACTTAGTGTCCGTTTGGGGCCGCTTATTTCGAGCAGCGCTGCCCCTAACCGTGAAGCCTTTCATTTTTTTGCTTTCCAACAATGTTTGCAGCCACTCGCGACTAAAGTAGGCGGAATGCGGGCTACGGGGTCGACCCTGCGGCCTCGCGTTATCGACTGATAATACCTTCATTGCCCCGCTCCCAGTGTCCCATGATAACTTTATTCTGCCCTAGCCTCTAGCGATCCCAAAACCGCGTGAAATTCTTCTGTCGTAGCGTCGAGCAAAGCAGCTACGCCTGCGCTGCTCCCGAGCTTATCACGAAGCCTCCCGCCACTCCTCCTCTCGCTGCTTACTCTTCCACCATCGCTCGAGTGTGAGTGGACTCCTGATCGATATCTCCCCTCCCAATTCTTTCTTCGTATTTTTTTGTTTTAGTTCTTCGTGGTTTATATCGAATTCTAGTTGTCTCTCGTTTGTTTTCGAATCCCTGTGAATCCTTTTGTTGGAGTACTTAGATTTCGTGTTTTGATTTTGGTGAATTGATGCTTCTGCCAATTCTTTCCTCGTTTGTTCTACATCCTAAATTAGGCCTAAAGGTTTGTCCCAAGTAGATGAGATGGATGCTTTTATATCCATGTCTCGTTCTTCTCCACATATAACAGTTTGTTGTTATTGAATTTTCCACAACTTGACAATTTCAATTTTATTTTTTAGTTATTTAAGCTTAATCTTTCGTTGAATTGTAATGAAATTTGTCACAATTATGGGCTAAAAACAATATCTTGTATTCCTTTGACTTTTGGCTATTTTATCTGTGATGTTATGCATAGAAAGTTTGTTTACACTTTTTTTTAATGATACATAAGATTTGTGTGGTATGTTTTCCCTAGATATATTTCAGGGAGGAGCTTAGATGAGTTGAGTTAGTTCGGGCAACCGAGGCTTTTTTATATGTTCTATTAAATATAGTTGATAGATGTGCATGGTCATCATAGCTACGTCACATGCATGATGTTTCATGGTTTGGGCATGCCAATATTGTCGATGTGGCTAATTACAGCACAAGGACATAGGAATGATTTTTGGGAAACTCTGTGAGGCGTCCCTCAAAAGAATTTAGAATAACTATATTTCCATTTGATCTAAGGACCAGTATGTAGAGTTTCCTTATATAAACTGGAAATAGTGCAAGCAATTTCATTGTAGTAGAGCAGATCACAGCGTAATTGTCTGATTTCACTCGATGATGCTTTAAAACTGTCACTGTAGTTGGTGTTGGCCAATTTTGATATGTTTTTTCTTCTTGTTTTCATCCTTTTTAAGCTACTTTCCAGCCTAAAATAATTGACTAATGAATTTTATTTTACTATTTTCAGGAAAGATGAACTCCAGTGTTTCAGGGACGTCGCGAAGATTGATATGCCTCTACGGACTAGAGAGTTGCTTTCTGAAGTCACACCAGCCCCACAGCTACGGTCGACATTTTTTACAGATGTCACCTAAGACTTGCAAAACAGTGTGACTTCTTCCAATGGGCTGACGGTCAAATTGATTTCACTGCCGAAAGTGATCAAGAATTGATAGTATTATTGGACAATTTCGGACGAGACATACATCCCCTTCATGCTAAAAATAATATCATTATTTTTCTTGTAATTTTATTAGTTTTTTTTCTTTTTCTTAACATTTTTTGTACTCACTATTAAGTAAGTGGTGTATCTGAATTTTTATTCTGTTTTGAAATGAATTTCTACTTCTGAAGTAACAAATATGTCACTGTCACAGTTTTGTTTTAAACAGTTTCAATAAACAAGGGCAAATTAGTCATTTTTCTAGAAACAGCTGCCCCACAGCTGTTTTCACACAGTTGAAATAGCTGTTTCCACACAGTTGAAATAAACAGACAGTCAGCTTCCCCGCAGCAGCTTCCTGGGGCAGCGCAGCTGTAGCTGAAAAACTAAAAAGCTGGAGCTGCCCAGTCAGCTTCCCCGCAGCAGCTTCCTGGGGCAGTGCAGCTGTGGCTGAAAAACTAAGAAGCTGGAGCTGCCCAAAACAAACCCTTAATTGTAGCACTTGTATAAAAACTCTTCAAAAAAAAGTCATATTTATTCATGTGATGTGTAAGCATTACTACACAGTAAAATTCCATCTTTTAGAAAGTACACTTCGTAGATATGCGAGGTAAATTCTTGTTATGCAAAATTTATGCAAACATTGATTTGATTAAAATATTCCTTTTTGCATGTTAAGCAAATAAACTCCAAGCTTCAAGTATAATTCGTTGGAGAGACTTTCAACATGTATGAATAATCCAACTGAGCAACAAACCTTCAATTACTATTTCCTTTATGACCATAAAAAACCTAATCCTTCAAATACAAATAAATAATCGAGAGGGCTTTAGGATATATATATATCAATCTTATCTTCTAACTCATCATCACAAGCAAACATGAACATCCCATTAGTGTGTTTACTGATCCTTGTTGACCATGAACACTAACATTTTAATTTCACAAAATCCAAAGAACTTCGAGCAATCAAAGTTCGCAATCTCCATTATCATGGCCATTGCTTAGCTCACAACATGTCAATTCATTTTAAGGTTTAAGAAGATTAAATTGGAACAGAAATATTTTGCTTTAAATAGGCGAGGCAACCCTCAAATGAAAATGTTACAAAAATTATAAAATTAAGAATAATACATAAATATGTTATAAACCTTTAGCATGTTTACTTTATTTATTAACATAACAAAATAAAATCACATAATAACTAAGAAAATCTGAATCATAAATATTAATCTCAAGTGAAGTTTGAAACAATATTCAAGATAAAGACTCACTTAAAATTTAAGCTCTCGAGGTCCAAAATGGTCTCTTGCATCAAATGAATTGTAGTATACAATAAATCTATCATCCTCAAATTTAATATCAACATTATCAAAACCTTCTTCAATCGTTATATTTTTCTTCTTACTCCCTATATCAACAAACATTGAATTCAATATGATTTAAAATAATATAATAAAAATTCATAAACTTAAACTTTCTCAAATATCATCCTCTTTATGACCATATAGGCAGTTGTATTATTTTTAACCCCGGAATAACTATATTAAATTTTACTTCTTCAATCGCATCAAACATTTTAAATGCTAATTATGCCTAGTTAACATTGGCTGATGTATTAACATATTTTAAAATACAATCTCATAAGTGTTGTTAATAAGAAAGTAGATAATGCCATTTTGTCTGATATATGACCAATCATCTAACAATATTTTAATTGTTGTTTCAACTAATATTTTCTTCATCATTTAAAAACCATATTTGACCCACACATGCTAGAAAAATATAATGTCTTCAGCCATAGTTCCTAACAGAATGAAGGATTCTTATAAAAGCCATTAGGAATATTTAAGCAAACTCAATGTGATCGTATATAGAAGCGGAAAAAGGGATTGCTTAAGTGTTATTATTCTCATATTTGTCTAAATTCACAATAATATCCATTGTTGCACGAGCTCCTCTTTCAGAGAAAAGAAAATAGCTTTCACTACCAGAAGCATCTTATTGAGAGCCCGACCATTTCCTTCATATAATTTTGAGTTGTGTCATTTAAAGTGATAAATCTTTATTAAATATTTCATATTTAATTTTTTGCATCATCTAAAAAGTTTTCATATCTCCTATTATTTAGATGTGTGTAAATTAAATGACCGTTCAGCCAAATAACATTACAAGTAATTTAATTGAAACAAAATTCATATTTCAAATAAAAATAATCCTTCTTACACTCTCATAGCACTTTAATATTTATCATTTGGATATGTCTTCTAGTTTTACCATTCATTCTCAAAAAAATTAATAATAGTACCAAGACAATTAAGAAAATAAATACTTAAAAGAAAATTTTAATAAAGTTAAAAAAAAATGATGTAGTGAAAATAGTAACAAGATATCTTCCAATAACTGGACCATAATCATTTCAACAAGTCAAGCAATCAATCCGCATTAAATTGCAATTTCAAAAAAAAAGCGATGCGGAGCACTCACATACCTTCTTAACATTGAACTCAATACCTTGAGAAGGCACCAACTAGAACAGGTTAGCTTGGCAGTATGCACGGAATTTATACTTCTAAAGTGATCCTACTTTAGAAGCTCCCCTTCTCCCCTTCTTGTTGAAGTTCTTTCTATGTACAGTAAATGTGCAGGTTCTCTCATGGCTCCTTGAGAAACAGTATAGCAGGAAGGTAGATCTCACAAGTCCTGTTACTTCCACTTTATAGCAACTGTCATGGCCTATTGCTAGGGGAAGACGAACAATAGAACAGTTTGGTGTCAAAATAAATCAGACATTAGAAATTTTCAAACAGCACCATAATCATTGAAGTTGAAGGGAGAGAAACAATAGAATGATGACAATCAAGGGGGCTAAATTAGTGTTTTTATCAGGTTCAACTCTAAATGCTTGCACTTCATGTTTGCCCGAACAAAGCTTGAGAACGCAATAGGTTCATCAGGTATAATTCCTTTTTCTAGCATTTCCTCCAACAAGTTCGCGGCATTCTCCACCTTCCCCTGCTTAGAGTATCCACATACTAGAGCCGTGTATGTAAAGGCATCAGGTGCAAGACCCCTTTCCTTCATCTCATCAAAATACTTACAAGCTTCTTGAAGATCATGCATCTTGCAATGACCACCGATTACAACTGTATACAGAACTTTATCTGCATTTATCTCCATTGCCTTCATATATTTGAATATACCATATGCCAAAGAGGAAAACTTGGCTTTGATTTCTAAGTTTCCCATTTCTTGGTTTTGGCTCAGGCAACATTCAGTTAAATATTCTTTTAGATATCCATTCAAAATAACAGTTAAAGCTTTAACATCAGGTTTAATTCCTTTTACCTTCATCTCAGAAAACAGATTGCAAGCTTCCTGCAGTAGATGAACCTTGCAATAACCATTCATGAGAGTGGTATACAAAATGACATCAGGGGAGAGACCATGTGAAATCCATTTATCAAACAAAATTCGTGCATTCTCCATGCCTCCAATGTGACAATAAGCTTCAATAAGATTAGTGTATGATATAATGTTTGGAGTTATCTTTGTCTTGAGCATATGTTCTAGTGCTGTAGAAGCTCTTTCAACATTCCTCTCTGTACAAAGCTCTCTTATAAGTTTAGAACAAGTGATCTCATCCACCAGATTCCCTTGCCCTAGCAACCTGATAAAAAGCTCATAAGCCCTTTCTATGTAACCTTGTTCGAGGTAACCAGAAACCATTGCACTGAAGAGAGGTGTATCTTGAGCAGTACCCCTTCCTTCTAAATCCTTGAACAAAATTTCTGCCTCCTCTAAATTCCCTCCTCTGCAAAGACCTATGATGAATATGCCATACGTAGTAGCATCAGGCTGTACTCCTCTTTCCCACATTAAATCCAAAAGGTCAGCAGCTTCCTGATTAACAGAGCCATTTTCACATAAGCCTTTAGCAAGCACATTGTAAGTCATAAGATCAGGTTCCACATTAGCATTCAGCATCTGCATGAGCAACCTCTGAGCAGAATTCAATTCTCCATTGCAGCAATACCCACAAATCAGAGTAGTGAAATGGATTTTATCTGGAAATAAACCCCGGTCCAACATTTCTTGAAATAAATCCATAGCACATTCCATTTCCCCTAGCTTGCACCAAGCATCTATTGCAATATTATAGGCAACTCCGTCAAGGAAAATCCCAGAGTCCTTAAATTTATTGAAATACTGTAAGGCGTCATGGTATAAGCCAAGCTTGCAGTTACCCTGGACAAGAAAAGTGGCAGTGAAACGATCATGAACAATACCCTTTGATTCCATCTCCTCTACAAGACGTGCAGCTCTTAAAAGCTTCCCGGTTTCACAGAGAACCTTAATGAGACAGTTGTAGCTAAATGTATCTGGTAACACATCTTGTTTTGTCATATCCTCAAAAACTTTTTCAGCTTCTTCCAGTTTCATCTGTTTACAGAACTCTCTAATCACCTTGTTATAAGCTAGGCAACTAACTCCCTGACTTGCTACCATTTTAAGAAACTCAATAGCTAAATCTGGTTTCCCGCATGCACACAACCCAGCAATAAATGTGGTATAAGCAAGCAGGTCTGGTGCAACTCCAGCTTGTGACATTTCCTCCATGAAATTACTCACCTTCTCCAACTCACCCCAGCGGAATGAAGCCTTAATCAAAATTGTAAAAGTATGAACATCTGGTTGAATCGCATAACTCATCATGCAGCGATAAGTAGCAATCACCAGCTCAAAATCACTGCTCTCAGCGAGAAAATTCAACAGAAAATTGCTAGTTTTAAGAGATGGGATGAACCCAGCTCTAGTCAGCTCGAGGAAGCACTGCATGGCATCCTGGCCTCTCTGGCAAGATGCATATGCTTTCATTAGTGAATCGAACACTAGCAGCAACGAGTTAGAACAAGATGGGACCTTAGAAAGAACGTAAAAGAGAGCTGGAAGCTCAAAACTAAAATTTCCCTTGGTTAAAATGATTTCAGAGAAGAAAGAAACAAGCTTCTTTCTCTGACCTGAATTGGAAAGTATGCGAACAATAACGGAGCAAGTGAAAAGGCCGTGCCGAAATCCATGGTTCTCAAAGCCTCTGAAAATTGCAAGAGCGACGTCTGGATTTCGTCTCAGATTTGCGAGGGTCTGAGCGACAAGAAGAGAAGTGTGGAAGGCAAGAGAAGCGCTTGGAGAGGAATCATTAGACTCGATCAATACAACCGAAGAGGCAGAGGAAACGGAAAACGATTTTGGACAAGACGGAGCTGTTGATGATAAAGAAGGTTTCATCCTCACATCGCGGGAGAAAGGCGCGGATTTGAGGAATCCGCAACGATGATTAAATGAAGGATTGAACTTTCGGCAGGAAAGCATTAGATGAAGCATAAAATATCGAGCTTTAGCTAGCTTCCCATAAAGGGTACACAAAAGATGACATTTACATTCGAAAAGAAGTTGAACCAGACAACCGGCAAATAAGCTAGAGGTACAAAGAAGCCAATCGCTAGGAAAGTATCAGTAGAGTGTTGTGGCCATGGAGAGGGAGATGAAGGGGAGTAGAGAGTAGTGGACCTGTTTGATTGGGGAGAAATGGGATGTAGCAGATCGACAGTCGTAGCCAGCAACCATAATCTTGCAACGCCCCTAAAACCCTAGCAAAAGCCCAGCTACCTTAATGTGTCGTCATAAACATTGTTTCTTCTAAATTATTTGGGCCATTTAAATATATGCATGCACCCAATTTTTATGTATTTACATATCTACCAACTAAATGTTTACATATATAAATGCATAGGAATTAAGCAAAATAATTTGATAAAAAATTAAATATAAATAATTTTAAGTTTATAATTTTAAATGTTTATATTTAAAATATTTGTTATGCAATTGATATGAAAACTAAATAATTGAAAAAAAAAAAGTCTTAATAAATTATAACAATCATAACAATAAATTCTAATGTAAAATATTAGAAAAGAAAGATTTATATGTATGGTATAAAATTTGTATCTATTTACATATATAATAAATAAACTTTGATTTTTATATTTTTATCACTTTATTTATGCATGGAAAGGTATATTTAATAGTAGTGTTATTTTTGAAATATTTGAGTGTTATAAATAAAAAAAATCAAAATGTATGCGTTGAATATGTAAATACATGTTGAATCAAAATAAGTCATGTGGATTACGCCCAAGGCATAAAGCGTTGGACGGATGAAACAAATAAAGTGGGAGAGATTAAGCGAGGGATTAAGAGCACGGTAATACAAGTTTTGAAAAAGTAAATTCAGTAGTCCTTTATTTAATAAATGACCCCTTATTTATAGATATCAGAAGTATCTAGTATGGAATTACTACATGTTTATCCTTGTTTTAATATGAGCATTATAAGCTATTATGACACATTCTTACATTCATAACTGACTGTCTCCTCATGTATGTAATTGATATAACACAGTTTCTTATTCCTAATTGCCTGCAGAAGGGCATTTTTAATGAGCACTAACTCGTGCTATTTAGTCGGCTGAAACTTTTTGTCGGCCACCATACATTCAGTCGATTGAAAGATCATCGTCTTGCTTTTTCAACGGAATCCTATCTACAGGCTCTCTATTGTATGGGTGAGCTTAGACCATCAGACATAACATATATCAATGTAACCTAACGAGCAGCTCTCCTCGGATAATGGGCCTTCTTCATAGAATCTGAATGGAATTTCGTGATGTGCCCTTTGGCCATCCTTATGAAGAGTTCTAGGATTAGTTAAGCCTGTTAGTTACGAATGACTATCCATTGCATTAGGTGTCATCTGTTCTTTTATTCGGCTATCCTTCCGTTCAATCTGTCGATAGTTCTGATAGAAGAAAACGATGTGTATAGTTTTCATTTCTTAACTATCCTAAAGTAGTCATTTGGTGTCCATTAAGCGAGACCCATTGAATTTCTTTGATTTGATATACATATTTAGTCTCCTAATTTTCTAGCTTCATGAAATCGACAGTTGCAATAAGAATAAAATAAGTAATTGCAAAAAGTGACTTATTTATTATATTTTAAATACGTCTAATAATTGAAATTTATGGATTTTTGTGCTCGTATTACTTACTTTTGCATCATTTATGAATTTTCAGCCTTCCAATCAGTTTTTAGCACAAAAGAGTAATGACAAGCAGCAAGAAACATACTAATGAGGTGGCCATGTTGAAGGCCATTGAAATTCTAACCAAAAACTTCCATCCTACTGGGAAGAAAAAGGAACTAGTGAGTAGTTAGCGGATGATAAAGAAAAAGCCCATAGACGAGAGCCAAATGGATATTGGCAAAGAGGGCAAAAAGGGAAGGCCGATATATCAACTCAAAGAGACTGGAAGAGAAGTTGGTTAAACAAGTTGTTCAAAAGAAAAAAAAGGGTGATAGATGTGGCCTAGCCATCTGACTCTATGTCACTCGACTATGTGATGGGGAGGGTTGGTGTACACAAAACTGTTGCTAAGTTCCTTACTTCAGATCTAATCCATAAATGGCCAGCTCAGTGATACACCTAAAATATATAGCATTTATGTACACATTTTTATACATATTTTTGAGATATTGAGCTTTAATGTAAGGTATCTGTGTGTTTTTTTCTTTCAGGAACAATCAAGTGGATGAAAAATAGTGAAAGGAGTGAAAAAGGATCAAATTTGGAGAAAAAACGAAAAAGATGTGCAAAAGAATTGTGGAGCCTAAGCACTCAAAATTGGTGCTTAAGCGCTAGTAAACCGAGAAGGCCGCAGCTAAGGGCCAAGTATCTCGCGCTTAAGCGTCAAAGGTAGTTACATGGTGATTCAATGAATTGGACAAATTTTTTAAGAGGTGTTTGAAGTAACTCTTGGTGAAAATGTGGGAAATGGTTAATAGACACAAAAATACATTCAATTGGCTTTTGAAATGAGGCAACTCTTAGAAGATTCATTGAATGTAATCACATTTTGAATCACATTTTGAAGAGACACCAAGACACCTTTTGAAAAATTATAAAAGAAGGACTTGGATTGAATTAAAGAGGACTCACCTCCCCTTCTAGATGTCGCCGACGCCTCACTCTCTTAGATCAATTAGGATATATTTTTAGAGAGAAGAAGAGATGAGTTGTAGTGTGTAAGTAGAGAGTATTGTAAGAGAAAGAAAGAGAATAGATTCAAAAGAACTTCAATAGTTTGGTGGACAGGATTTGAGAGAAGTTCTTATCTTTGTGACTACATTTTGTTTTAATTTAAACTTCTTATTTGTTTGCATGATTTCTACTTTCAAATTTAAGTGTGGTTGTGTTTTCTACATGAATTCTAAGTAGTTTTATTTATCTTTTTCTTTAAAATGATAAGTAATTAAGTATTGGATGGAAGTTGTGTGAAGTATTAATCTTTATGTTGGAATAAGTTGTGATATAAGTTGTGATAATTTTAAACCTTGTATTTCATTTACTTCTTGATTTGGCCAATTAAGATTTTAATATTTGTTGTGAGAACATGTAAGATCCGAGATGGTATTGCCTTAGTAAGAATCGAGATGGTATTGTCTCAGTCAATAATTGGAAAGAATCACATGACATTGTATGGATGAGAATGTAATTCGTATAATTGAGTACAAATAAATAAGGAAATAAACTTTGAAGGGTATAGAATTAGAGGACATTAGAGTAAGATGCTAAAGCCCCCAATTTGGTTTATAATTTTAGGTTTTGATACAAGATGTTAGCTCCCAGGTGGATGGAGAAGACTGAACTCTTGAGTGAGAGCTGCTATCTTCCCTACCTAGCCCGTCTTCAAGAATATTCAAACTTTAAATTAACCAATGTTCATTATAGCATCTCTAGTAAGGGTAAAGAATTTACTGCTCATATTTGACACAACAAAATTTGAATACTTCGACAACATAATTCATATACTTGTTACTGATTTATGATAAGGAAAAAGATATTTTATTTACATTGTCTTCTTCTTACAAATATCTAGTTAAATTTAGTTAGTTGTTTATTTTTTTTTAATTATAAAAAATTACTAAAAATAATTAAACTTTCATTCCAATTATAGTATCTAAAGTTTGAGTAAGAATATTTTGCAAAGTTGAATTTGTTATATAACTTCTTTTGATTTAGTTACATATTGTGTTTCTCCCTGTAGGATATTTGGGGATTAATCAAAAAGTCTTATATTACTTGATAACGATATTTATACTTGCGTAGTATCTCATATTTACATATAATAAATGCATTCTTATTTTCTTCAAAGTCAAGTTTTTGGCATTGTTGCAATGTAGGAAATATAAGTAAGAAAAAATTAAGAATATAATTACATACATCATACTTTCATATAAGATCAAGATCAAGTATCTGGTGTCGTCGCCGGGAAGAATAAGCAATTGTGAAGAAATTTTTAAAAAGCAAATTTATATTTTTAGCAAGTCTTATTTAAACTTTTAGATTTATTATAGGAATATTATAGGGTTGTTTTTATATAAGTTCTTATTTGTGTGATTTTATTTTATGTTGTTTTGTAGTAATGTATGCATAGTTCATGTTCTAAAGGACTAGTGCCCACTACAATTCTGAATTAGAAACAACTATTAGAAAAATTAAAAAAGAGTAAAAATACATGTAAACCAAAATAATCAAAATACTGAAATTAATCAAGAATTTAAACCCTTAAGAGATCATGCAAACCTACAGTAGATGAACTTCATTGTAGTATTCAAAAACCTGTTGTAGTGGTTAATTCATTTGAACTTAAACCTGATATTATCTAAATGATATCAAATAATCAGTTTGGGAGAGTATCAACTGAAGATCCAAATTTACATCTTGCTAATTTTCTAGAATTGTGTTCTATATTTAAATATGATGGTGTTTCAGATGATGCTATAAGACTTAGGCTTTTTTATCATTGAGGGATAAGGCTAAGATATGCTTACATTTGTTAGCACTTGGATCTATCAGAACTTGTGGTAATTTAGCACAGAAATTCCCTGCTAAATATTTTCCACCATAAAAAACTGTGAAGTTTAGAAATGATATTGCATCTTTTTGTCAGTTTGAATGAGAATCTATTTATGAAACATGAGAATGATTTAAAGAACTACTAAGAAAGTGTCCACATCATGTTATACTAGATTGGCTAATAATTCAAACTTTTTACAATTGATTAGTTGGATCTCTTAGATCTATTATCGATGCTGCTGCTGGTGGTTCATTGATTTCAAAACCATTTCATGACGCTTATGCTTTAATTAAAGAGATGGCTACAAATAATTTTCAATGGCCTTCTGAGAGGGTAAATCCTAAGAAAGTAGCTAATGTTCAAGAATCTGATGCTTTTACAATGTTAGTAAATTAAGTTGCTACAATTTGAAGGAAGTTAGACCAATTTGGAATAATTTTTTCTCAGCCAATTGTAATGATTAAAGAGAATTCATTAGGTCAAATGGTAGATTCTCAAGTATCATTAGAAACTTTGAATTTTATAAACAATAAGCAAAATAACCCATACTCAAACTATTATAATCCTTGTTGGAAGAACCGTCCTAACTTTAACTAGAATAATACTTCGGGTGGTAATAATCAACAATGGGGAACAATCAAGTAAACCCATTGAGAAATTGGAACAACCAAGGTAATAATAATTAAGACCTACTTAT